CCCAGCTACGCCAAGTCGTGCTTTCGGCGACAACGCCACCACCACCACCTCGTCCCGCTTCGTCGGCTCCGGGCGAGCTCCTCATCCTCGGACCGCGACCGCTTCGACGCCGGGGCCACCCGCTTCCTCTCGCTGCCTCGACGTATCCGACCTCAAGCGCCGCCTGCGCCGCCAGCTTCTCCGAGCTCCAAAGACCGAGGCCCAAAGTGGAGGTACTTGGTCCTAGGCCAAGCTTGCTTCCACCTCGGCTTTGATGGAGGACGCGGTGGTGCTCCCGCCAATGAAGGGACGTCGTCCTCCAATAAGTCCAGCTCTACAACAGCGGCCCGAGGCGGAGTCCGTGTCGCAGCTGCTTGCGCGCACATGAAGCTCCGCCGCCGCGCCGCTGCCGTGTGGCGGTGGCGGCGGCGCGACGCCGCCTCCCGGCGAGGCCGTGCAACATTTCAACAAGGTGCTCGACACGCGCCGCAGCGTGCTTGCCACACCCCTTCGCCACGGCCTGCCTCGTTGGCCGCGCCGCCGCGTTCCGCTCGGCGGGGTGCCCCGCGGATGCCATCGCAGACTGCAACCACACGCTGGCGCTCGACCCGACCTTCATCCCGCTGCTGTGCGTGCGCCGACCTGCTCGAGTCGGTTGGGGCGCTCCCGGACCGCCTTTGGGACCTCGACCACCTCAAGCTCCTGTCAGACGACGCGCAGGCGGACAGCAAGCTGCCAGGGCCGAGCTGGCGGCCGCAGGCGGCATCCGGTTCGGGAGATCGCGCTGCGCGCACCGCCGCGCCACCGCTGCGTATCCAGCAGCTCCGCGGCCGCGTCGCCGCCCGGCGAGGGGTGCAGCGTGGACTACTACGCCCTCCTCGGGGTGTGGCGTGGGTGCACGCAGACCTGGTCCTGACGCTGAAGCTGAAGCCCAATGGGTCGGTCTCATTCGCGGAGAGGCTGGAGCTCGTGGATGAGCACCGCGACACTGGAGGCCGTCTTGCGACCAGGCGCGCATGTCGGCGCTGTTCCTCTACCGGATGCTGCAGAAGGGCTATTCGTTCATCATGTCGGCTGTGCTGGACGAGGAGGCTGCCGAGAGGCAGGGGGCCAAGGACGCCGCCGCGGCTGCTGCTTTGGCTGCCATGGCAGAGTCCGAACCCAAGCAAGAAGAAGAAGAAGAAGAAGAAGTGGCGACCGACCGGCCGATTCCAGTGAAGTGCGAGGCAATGAGCTGCAGATCGTGGATCCAACGATGAACTTGCTGTAGTGGCAGCAGTAGCAGGGTGGCGTGGGCGTGCGGCAGAGAAGGGGCAACACGGGTATACAGAAATACTGCACCTGTAGGTGGGGCTAGGTACGCTCCAGACGTAGAAAAGGGCAAGGGTGAGGGGGAAGCAGAATAGTAATGGCAAGTTTCCGATAAGACGAATAGTAATGGCGTTCTTCAAAACTTAAGAAATTCTAATGGCAAGAATCCAAATAACCCTTGATTCAAACTCCCTGTCTGGAACTATTCCCAGTAATATTGGCGATAGGCTCCCCAGCATCAGAACTCTGAACTTTGGTTACAACAAGTTCCATGGAACTATCCCACCCTCACTCTCCAACATCTCTGCTCTCACGTTTCTGCAACTCGCGCTAAACAGTTTTAGTGGGCGCGTTCCTCCTACTCTGGGGAGATTAAAAGGTCTCGTTACCCTAAACTTGTCCGACAACAAGCTAGAATCAAGTGACAGGGAGGGGTGGGAATTCATGAAGATGCTAGCAAACTGTAGCCAGCTTCGGATCCTGTATATTGACAATAACCCCTTCAGTAGACAACTTCCTAGTTCAGTTGCAAGCCTGTCGACAACTCTCCGGAATCTTTTCTTAGGAAACATTAGGATTTCTGGGTTTATTACATCTGACATAGGTAATTTGGTTGGTATGCAAGTACTTGCGATTATGAATATTCCAATATTCGGAGGGATTCCAGAGAGCATTGGTAGGCTTCAAAACATGGCCGCTTTATACCTTTACAACACCAGCTTGTCAGGCCTTATACCAACGTCACTGGGAAATCTTACACAGTTGAATACACTTGCTTTATACAATGACAACTTGGAGGGTCCAATTCCAGCAGGCTTGGGGAACTTGAAGAACATGTTTATTCTTGATCTCTCAGCGCAGAAACTGAATGGTTCAGTCCCCAGAGAGGTTTTCAAACTTCCTGCACTTTCCTACATCTTAAATTTGTCACACAATTCGTTGTCTGGGCCACTTCCTACTGGAGTTGGTAGCCTGGCAAACCTTAACGCATTGTTTCTGTCAGGAAACCAGTTGTCTGGCAACATACCTGATAGTATTGGAAACTGCAAATCGTTGGAATTGCTGTTGCTGGATCAGAACTCGTTTGAAGGCAGGGTGCCTCAATCTTTGGAGAATTTAAAAGGTCTTTCTGTTCTCAACGTGACCATGAACAAGATGTCTGGGAGTATTCCAGATGCCCTTTGTAGTATTGGTGGCATACAAGAATTGTATCTAGCACACACCTTGTCTGGATTGATCCCCACATGTCTTCAGAATTTGACATCATCGTCAAAATTAGATCTGTCCTTTAATAATTTACATGGTGAAGTGCCAGAAAAGGGTATTTTTGAAAATAGAATGAACCTGTCCGTTCAAGGGAATGATGGCCTTTGTGGTGGAACACCTCAGCTTCCTTTAGCTCCATGCTCCATGTTTGCTTCAGAAAAGAAGAAAAGGCATTTTTCGAAGTCCCTTATGATTACCCTAATAACATCAATCAGTGTGCTTGTAGCTTTAGTTTCAGTAGTTATACTTATTAAGTTGATCCACTCGAAGCTCAGAAAAAGGCATGAAACTCAACTCACATCCACAACTGAGGAACAGTATGAAAGAGTTTGTTATCATGCATTGTCAAATGGGACCAATGGATTTTCTGAGGCCAGTTTGCTTGGACAAGGAAGCTATGGCATGGTTTATAAATGTACTTTACATGATCAGGGCACTACAGTAGCTGTAAAGGTGTTTAACACACAGCAGACTCGGACTATTAGAAGTTTTGTGGCTGAATGTGAGGCACTGCGAAGGGTGCGTCACCCTTGTCTTATAAAGATCATCACTTGCTGCTCAAGCATCAGTCACCAGGGTGAAGAGTTCAAGGCACTAGTTTTTGAGTTCATGCCTGTTATAAACGATAGGCAATATAAACGACGAAGAACGATAGATCAAGCATAGGGAACACGAGATTTTAACGTGGAAAACCCGCCCAAGGTTAAAGGGAAAAAAACACGGGCACCAGCCAGCAAATCTTCACTATATCCGGTGAGGTTACAAACGTCGGGGATTTACAACTTTTCTTATCCCAAGACGACGGCTTACATAAAGTATATATAGAGAGGAAAAATTCCACACCCTCGTCTATTAGCAATACGGAACTAATAGATGGTGTAGTCCCTCTTAACGCTAATGGGCCGCTTCGCTTCGGCCCAAGCTTGAATTTGGATCATAGCTCAACAAACTCCACCTTAAGACAAATTCCTTCTTGTAGTATAAAATGAACATTTACCCTGAAACAACAAAGAAATACTTCGGGTGCCAAAATAGCCTCTTGGGCTAAACAGTTATACTAACTAAGCTTGAGCAAAGCTCAAACTTAGTAACAGGAACTGACTTTGTCAACATATCAGCAGGATTATCATGTGTGTTTATCTTGCATACCTTCCGTTTACCTTGCGCGACAACATCGCAAACATAATGGTATTTGACATCAATGTGCTTCGTTCTCTCATGGAACATCTGATCTTTAGTGAGACATATAGCACTTTGACTGTCACAAAATAAATTAATGTAAGAATCATCTCCACAAAGCTCAGCAAACAAACCTTTCAACCAAACCAATTCTTTACGTGCTTCAGCAACAGCCATGTATTCTGCTTCAATGGTAGATATGGCAATAACAGGCTGCAATGTTGCCCTCCAACTCACAGCACAACCACCAATAGTGAACACAGAACCCGTGAGAGATCTCCTCTTATCGAAATCAGCAGCAAAATCTAAATCCACGTAGCCAGTGAGTCCCTTATCAGTCCTGTCAAACTTCAAACAGGCATTTGTTGTACAACGAAGGTACCTAAAAATCCACTGAACAGCCTTCCAATGTTCTTTACTTAGATTAGTCATGTATCTACTAACCAAACTCATAGCATATGATAAATCAAGACGAGAGCAAACTATGGCACACATCAAAGAACCAACAACACTAGAATATGGAACTCTTGACATGTACTCAAAATCCTCATCTGTACTAGCACATTGTAAAACTGATAATTTAAAATGAGGAGCAATAGGAGCACTAACAGACTTTGCATCATGCATGTTGAAATGATGAAGAACTTTCTTAATGTAACTTTGCTGACTAAAAAATAACAAACTAAAATTTTTATCTCTTGTAATTTCCATAACTAGAATCTTCTTAGCAGCACCAAGATCTTTCATCTCAAACTCACTACTCAACAGTTTCTTCAACGTAGTGATTTCTTTCTTGCTCTTGGCAGCAATTAACGTATCATCAACATATAACAGCAAATATATAGGTGATCCATCAACAAATTTAATGTACACATAGCTATCAAATTCAGACCTCTTAAAACCATGTGACATCATAAAAGAATCAAACCTTTTATACTATTGACGAGGAGACTGTTTCAAACCATATAAGGACCTCTTTAATTTGCAAACATGATCCTCCTTACTAGGTACTATGAACCCTTTTGGCTAGTCCATGTATATCTCCTCCTCGAGCTCTCCATGTAGAAACACAGTCTTTACATCTAACTGCTCAAGCGCAAGATCTCGCATAGCAACAATACCGAAAAATGTACGAATTGAACTATGCTTTATAACCGAAGAGAACACATCATTATAATCAACGTCAGGAATCTGACTGAAACCTTTTGCTAATAACCTTGCCTTAAATCTTGGAGGCTCACTAGGAGATAAACCCTCCTTTCTTTTCAAGATCCATTTGCAACGAACGGCCTTCTTGTGTTTAGGCAACGCACAACATCCCATGTGCCATTTTTCTCAAGTGAATGCATCTCTTCTTGCATAGCGAAAATCCACTTCTCGCGGTCACTAGAAACAACAGCTTTAGTGTACGTAGCCGGCTCATGAATGTTCTCAACATGTTCAGCACAACTAAAGGCATAATGAACAATATCACATTCCTCAATTAAACATGGACGAGGTCCACAACTCCTCTTTGTTCTGTGATCTGCAATAGACTGATTTTGAGGTTGTAAAACAGGAGGTGAGTGCTGAACAATACCATGAACATTGTTATCAACAATTTTAGTTTCCTAATCATCTACGTGCTCCACCTGCACGCTAACATGTTCCTGCTCCTCATCAAAACCAACTGGTAAAACATCTGTGGACAAGCTGCCATTAAACATAACAAATTTATTGAAAACAACGTTCCTGCTCATGAAAGTCTTTTTAGTTTTAGGATTCTATAACTTATATCCTTTAACTCCAGAACCATAACCAAGAAACAGACACTTAATGGCTCTAGGTTCTAGCTTTCTATTATCAACATGAGCATAAGCATTGTAACCGAAAACTCTCAACTGTGAATAATCAGCATGCATACCAGACCATACCTCAATGGGAGTTTTCTTATTAAGTGGAATAGAAGGTGACCGGTTGATCAAGTAACAGGCGGTGTTAGCAGCCTTAGCCCAAAAATGCCTGTTCATACGAGCATTGGACAACATGCAACGAGCCCTCAAGATGATGGTTCGGTTCATGCGCTCAGCCACACCATTCTCCTGAGGAGTGTACGGGATGGTGTGGTTCCTGACAATGCCTTCTTCCCTGCAGTAATCATTAAAAGCATCCGAACAGAATTCACCACCATTGTCAGTACGAAGCAATTTTACCTTCTTTTCAGTTTGTCTTTCTATCATAACTTTCCACTCTTTAAAAGCAGCAAAAGTATCATCTTTATTTTTTAGAAAGTAAGGCCACACTTTTCTAGAGTAATCATCAATAATGGTAAGCATGTAACGAGCACCACCATAAGAGGGCTTACGAGACGGCCCCCACAAATCAGCATGTACATAATCAAGTGTACCTTTGGTGATATGAACAGATGCATTGAATTTTACCCTCTTGTGCTTACCAAAAACACAGTGCTCACAGAACTTCATCTTACCCACAGTGCAGCCATCCAGTAGGTCTCTCTGGATCAATTCTACCATACCAAGTTCACTCATATGCCCAAGACACATATGCTAGAGATTAGTTTTACTTGGTTCATCATTAGAAACAGTAGCAGCAGTGACGGAACCATGTAAAGTACTTCCTCTAAGAACATATAACTTTATAGAATTCATATCACCTATCATATGAATGAGAGAGCCTTTTGATACCTTACACACTCCACCTGAACCGGAGTGTCTGTACCCCTCAGAATCAAGTGTGCTGAGGGAGATGAGATTTTTGGCCATCCCTGGTATGTCTCACATCTTTCAGTGTGCATATCATGCCATCATGCATCTTGATCTGAATGGAGCCAATGCCCACGATCTCACGTGGGTTGTTATCTCCCATACGCACGATATCTCCACTCTGCACAGACTTGTAAGAATTGAACCAATCTCTGTTAGAGCATATATGAAACGAGCATGCAGAATCAAGTATCCATTCATCACGACCAGCAACACAACCAACAAAAACAATTAGAACATCTCCTGAATCAGAATTATCAACAGTGGAGACAACAGAGGCCTTACCATCACCATCGGATTTATTTTTTGGTTTATACGTACCATTTCTTTTCTCCTTATTCTGCAGCTTCCAACAATCCTTAATAACATGAGTATCTTTCTTACAATACCTACAGAACTTATACCTGCCTCTGGACTTCGAACGACCTTTACCGTTCTTGCTCTTGTCTCGATTATTGTTGTTGTTGTAGATTTTCTGCTCGGGCCTGCCTCAAACCTGCAACACTCCGCCCTTGGAGGATGACACATGAGACTGAACCATACCTTTCATCTTCTCCCTCGTCTGGAGGGCCTCATATACTTCCACAAGGGTTAGTTCATCATGGCTTAATAGTATGGTATCTCGAAAATTTGCAAACGAAGTAGGCAGTGAGCATAACAGTAGAAGAGCTAAATCTTCATCATTATATTTTACCTCCATCGACACTAGGTCGGCAACGATCTCCTTAAAGATCGATAAGTGGTTCATCACTGAACCACATTCTTGCAGCTTGTGCATGAACAACTTCATCTTTATGTGCATCTTACTGGTTAGATCCTTAGACATGCAAATCGATTCCAGCTTGAGCCAAAGTTCTGCGGGCAGCACTTCTTGCAAAATATCATTATGTAGATGAAGTTGAATCAGAGACAGAGCCTTACGCTCCTTCCGCTTCTCTTCAGCGGTGCATGACTTCTGCCCTTTTCCTACGAAACCGTCCAGCGCCTCATCAAGATCCGAAGATTGTGCCAGAATCGCCCGCATCTTGACTTGCCACAGTGCAAATCTCGTCTTGTAATCCAGCAGCGGTAGATCAAACTTCATCGATGCTATCGCGAAACCCTAAGGTCAAACCAAGCTCTGATACCACTTGTTATAAACGATAGGCAATATAAACGACGAAGAACAGTAGATCAAGCACAGGGGACACGGGATTTTAACGTGGAAAACCCTCCCAAAGTGGAAGAGAAAAAACCACGGGCACCAGCCAGTAAATCTTCACTATATCGGGTGATGTTACAAACGTCGGGGATTTACAACTTTTCTTATCCCAAGACGATGGCTTACATGAAGTATATAGAGAGAGGAAAAATCCCACACCCTCGTCTATTAGCAATACGAAACTAATAGATGGTGTAGTCCCTCTTAACGCTAATGGGCCGCTTCGCTTCGGCCCAAGCTTGAATTTGGATCATAGCTCAACAATGCCAAATGGTAACATGAAGGGGTGGCTTCACCATGAATCTGACACACTTGCTCAAACAAATACTCTTAGCCTTGAACAAAGGCTACATGTTGCTGTCAATATCTTGGATGCTTTGGACTATCTTCACAATCACTGTCAGCCATCAATCATTCATTGTGATCTCAAGCCAAGCAACATCTTTCTTGCAGAAGACATGAGTGCCCGAATTGGAGACTTCGGCATATCAAGAATCCTTCCAGACAATGCTAGTAGAACCCTGCAAAATTCAAGTAGCACAACAACTGGAATAAGAGGCACCATCGGTTATGTTGCTCCAGGTAATTGAAATAGTTATTTTTTACCTGTACATTATTCCTAGTTCTTGTATGAACACGGCATGTTGACTTGTTTTGTTGCAATCATAGAGTACGGTGAAGGTCCTTTTGTCTCAACACATGGTGATGTTTATAGCCTCGGTATATTGCTGCTCGAGATGTTTACTGGAAGGAGCCCAACAGATGAGATATTCAATGACTCGTTAGATTTGCACAAGTTTTCAGAGAATGCTCTTCCAGAGAGAATATGGGAGATAGTTGATCCGACAATCTGGATGCACATAGATGCTAACAATAGAACTACAAGAAGTGGAATTCAAAAATGCTTGGTTTCTGTTATTGCTCTTGGAATATCCTGCTCAAAGAAACAACCTAGAGATCGGATCCTGATACAGGATGCAGCTATTGAGATGCTTGCCATTAGAGATTTTTACCTTAAATTTTCGGGATCTCATTTGGTGGATCACAAAGGAGTAGCAATAGTTCACGGCGATTCTCCACAATAGTGAATACGTAGGACATGAAATGGGCAAGATACCTGTAGGTGATCACTTACCTGAAATAACTGAAGATGTACTTGAAGTTTCAGCTCTATAACTATTCCCTGTCTTTTTTTGATACATGCAGGTATAAAGGACATTCAGAAAATGTGTCAAATAGACTGGATCAATAATTTTACCAAATGTCTGTATGACAAATTTTGTAGAGAATTTAGTAAGATGTATGAATCAAAGTGTAACGACCCAACATGCATTCTTGAGAATCATCCTCATCATGATCATTGCATCATGTAAATTATATTTTTGCAAAACTATTTTTCAACAGTTATTAAGTCTGGCACTATTGTGCAATTGATGGTGGTCCAGATCGATATGGCCACCGGACAGTCCAGCAACTGCAGCGCCAACCTGAGAGTCGTTTCCAGACGGTGATTTTTTTAATCTTTTTTTATTTAATATTTTAATAATAATTGCTCCTATTTTTTTTTTTTAGATCTAACCCGCTGGCACGACCAAATAACATTGTCGCGCTACATGCAATGGCGCAGCAACATCCGCCACATTAGACGGCGTTTTTTACATGAAAAACGTTGTCACGCCACTCCCGCTGGCGTGACAGTATTGTTCTGTCGCATCACCGGGAGTGGTGTGACAAGACCAAATATTTAAAAAATCATAACTCTTTGATACGATGTCGGATGAAGATAAAATTTACATGAAAATTATAGCTCTCGATTAAATCTACAACTTTGTAGTTTTGAGTTTTTTTCATTTAAGTACGTTAAGATGCTCAAAAAATAATATAAAATTTCAGGAGCATAATAACCGCGTACTAGTACTTGTTGTATTAGAAAAATAATATCGTTTCTGTATGTGTCAAATGAAGATAATTTTTACATGAAAGTTGTAGCTCTCAATGAGATCTATAACTTTGTGGTTTTGAGTTTTAACATTTGGAGTCGTTAAGATGCTCAAAAAATAATATAAAAATTTAGGAAAATAATAACCGCGTAGTAGTACTTGTCGCATTAGAAAAATAATACCGTTTCTGCATGTTGTCAAATGAAGATATTTTTACATGAAAGTTGTAGCTCTCAATAAGATCTACAACTTTATAATTTTGAGTTTTAACATTTGAAGTCATTAAGATGTTTAAAAAAATAATATAAAATTTTAGTAGCATAATAATCGCGTAATAACGTTTGTCGTATTAGAAAAATAATATCGTTTTTGTATCGTGTCACATGAAGGTACTCTTTATATCCAAATTGGAGATTCGAACGGGTCTACAACTTTTATTTAAAAAGTAGTTTTATGTGACATCAAATAAAAAATATACGATTTTTCTAAAAAGATAAGTTTTGATACACGATTAATATGCTGCTAAAAATTTATATTAGTTATTAGAGTATGTTAACGACCTCAAATATGAAAACTCAAAACTATAAACTTGTAGATCTCATTGAGGGCTACAACTTTGATATAAAATGTATCTTAATTTGACACCATACAAAAAAGATATTATTTTTTAAATGCGGTAAGCGCTGGTATATGATTATTATGGTACTGAAATTTTATATTAATTTTTTTAGCGTCTTAACGTCCTCAAACGAAAAAAAACTCAAAAATAAAAAGTTGTAAATCTCATCGAGATATATAATTTTCATATAAAAATTATCTTCATCTAACGTAGTATTGAAGAGTTATGTTTTTTTTGAAAATTTAGTCTTGTCTATTGTCACGCCACCGGGAGTGGCGCGACAAGCTTTTCCATGTCGGAAACGCCATCCAACATGGCAAATGTTGCCGCACCATATGCATTGGAGCAACAGCGTTGTTTGGTCACGCCGCGACCAAAAGGGTCAAATCTAAAAATATTTTTTTGAAGTGGTTATTATTAAAATATGGATTAAAAATGATTAAAAATAAAAATTCTCCACGGTCCAACAAAGATGTGGACAATCCGCCAGGACACGAAACCTTCAGAGTTGAGCTGTCCAACTCTCCTCTTCTTTGGTTCAACCCATCAGCCCAATGTGGCTACACAGCACGACTCAACAAAAGTTCTCGGCGCCTCCCGGAGCACAGTGCCCATTGCCTCGCCGCAGAGGGGATTTTTTTTCTTAAATACGCAAAAGATTTACGCATCTAAGGTAGAAATGTTTGATATACCAACATGCTTCTGCGAGCGCTCTAGGAGGTATACAGGTTTATAGCTGTGGGCTGGACATCTTAGCATGTAGATACAGATTTCGTTATTACACAAACGAGACTAATGGACAGTGACACAGCCTAGGAAGAAGGCTTGCGCTTCTGCTGCTGCCAGCGCGACTCATTCGCGACGCCGTGGAAGAGGGGATTTTGAGAGGGGGCACTGCGCAGCGCCCATTGCCTCGCCACCACAGGGCCACCTGTCAAGAACTCCTTCTATCCTTCATCGACGACGTCTTCCAAAAGGGCCTCGTCCGATCCGCTCCGCGCCAGGAGAGCTCGTAAAAGCATGCTATCTCCGAGCGCACCTCCATATCCACATCCTCTATTCCTCCTACTTGCATGTTTCCTCCATCCGCTACTTCTAGGAGTAGGGTGGTGTTTCCTCTTTACAGTGGTGCCTCCTACTCCTATTTATTAGCATAAGTGACAATAGTGAATAGAAACAGAAACTTATTGATGATGGTTTCTGGGTAGACTTGTAGTTAGTTCCCTAGTTGACTTTTGCACCATCAACCTGGGATAGTAGGCGATTTCTGTTGGACTAATGATTGTTGTGAAGAAATGGAATAGAGGATTGGTTATTGCTCAGGTTGTGAAATGATTGCTATGTGCGTGGTAACTCTAACTCCGTAACTCGTGCATGCACTGCTTGTTTCCAACTATGAAATTCCTGTAGTGCGTCAAAATAGGAAATCTTTGCACCAACTATGGTTGATGTGCGGTGTGCCACTGCTGTGGAGCTTCAAACATTGCATGCGTAAATGTGCAAATTGTGCATAAGTGTTGCCTTTTAGTTTTCACTCTAATCTAATGGAAAGAAATACAGATCTGAGCATGTATGGCTTTATTCATTTCAGGTAACATATTACATCTGTTGGAATGGAACCGTTGAGGCGGTTGTATGTCAAGATCAAGGGATATCAGATTCTTCATTGTCCCTATGGTTGCTGGAATATTGATCCCTCCAGGTTTGCATGGTATGCATCAAGGATAGTTAACTTTGAGAGATTTCCAATCGATGGAGGTATTCCGTCTGACAAATCAGTGTTGAATAGGGGTGAAAACGGTACGGATATTTTCCGACCATATTCGAGACCGAATCCGTTTAGAGGAGTTCAAATCTGTCTGTATCCGAGTCTGGATATTCAACATCCGATACCGTATCCGTATCCGAATAATCAAATCGTATATTTATGATGTCGATATCCAATCGTATCCTATCCGTTATGATTGACAATATCCGTATTCGAATCCGAATCCGGACAGAAATATGAAAACAAATGTAATATCAGTGATATCCGTTCGTATCCGATCCGTTTTCATCCATAGTGTTGAACAACCTAGCATAACCATTTGTCACCAAAAAAAAAAAAACACCTAGCAAAACCAAGTTTGCCAACATGCCAATGCTGAATGCTCCCTGGAATGACTCCAGATATGATCGTGTTTGCCACACCGGACTTGACAATTAAGATCGATCCAGAGTGAGACGAGAAAGAGATGAAAAGCACCCGAAACCTTCCCAAATTTGAGAGAGACAGGAGAGTTGCGTGTACCAAAAGGGATTGCACGGATATGTTTTTAGAATAAAATAATTTATTTATTCCGACAACTAGAAAAGTTTGCATATAATCCTTTTTTTATTGAAAATCAACTTTCAGTTTCAGCCTTTGGCTAGAACACGTTGACCAAAGCAATAAAGGAATGGAGAGCGAGCGCTAAGCGGCTAAGGGCATGTACAACAGTGGTCTGTCTCTAAGCACCTCGAATCTATCATACAGACGGATATAAAGACAAGTCATACAACCCACAGACAGAGGAGCCGTCTCTAAGCTGTTTAATGCTTTACGTGTAGCTAGAATCTACTATAAATAAATTTTGTATACCATTGTGTGGCTATTTGCATGTAAAGCAGTCATGGGAAAAGCTAAAGACCATTTGGTTAGAGCAGCTATGAAACAGTAGCTTGTGTAAGAAATACATGTAATGACCCGGAGGGCCTGGAGATTGTTTATATGCAAATTGCTCCTTAAAAACTATTTTGTTCGCTGATTCGCATGTAAATCACAAATTTAGAAAGGAAATACCACATAATTCGCATGTAAATGACAAATTTAGAAAGGAAATACCACATAAATAAAACAAATACTAAATTTATGTTTGGTAGGTATTATTAAAGCATCCTTTTATTAAATTTCATCAACATAATATAAATCAAAACCACTAGAGAACCAAAACAACTATTTTAAATGAAAAACACTACAAAACCAAACCAAATCATTACTGCTATATTGCCTCACCATTACCTTGAGATGTTCAAATTATACAAAGATGTTCAAATTATGCACAGTTCCCTGTTATTTCTCACACGCACGTGCGTTGGAGATGGCCAAGCATCACATCCAGCACTCCAGCGCGTACGTCGCTTGTTGCTGCTCCGGCCTCCGGGCGATGCAGTTCGAAGCTCGTGTCCCTCGTTGGCATTTCGTCGAACATGCTGCGAGCGGACACGAGATCACCGGCTCTGACGCAGAGAAACAGGACTCACCGAAGCGTTGCGGGCATGCGTGCAGAGAAACGGGACCTGGGTCATCAGCGCAGATGCGTCCGCAGTAGTTTCCTCGCGAGCGGTTGGGGGCGTCGGGCATGGCGACGCCGCTGCACTCGCGTCCGCGCACGCCGGTGGTGGACGACCAGCTCCCCCGCAGAGCACGCCGGGGGAGGAGGACCAGCTGCACTCGTGTCCGTGATCGCCGGTGGTGGAGGACCAGCTCGCGCCCGCGGCGACGGAGCTCCGAGGAGGCAGAGCACACCCGCGACGGTGCTTGGCCATGCCCGCCGCTGGGCAGGGGTCGGAGCCGCGCCTGCTTCTCGACGGGGTAGCCAGAGAGGGAGGGGACGCAGGGTCACCGGAGACGAGCGCGGGAGGGGCCGCGGGGTCGCCGGAGCGTCGCCACCGCCCGGAGAGGGAGGAGCGGCGCCGCCTAGACGCTAGACGAGAGGCGCTCGCGACGGGAAGATGTCACGGATGGGGAAGAAAGAAAGAACGAACGAACCGGCGCGAAGGCACACGGGATCCGCGCGCCATTGAGTCTTCGTACAACGCTGCTAGAGCCGTCGTCTCGGCCTCGGGCCACGAGTCGTTCCCGTCGCCTCGCGAGACGACGAGGCCTCCGTCTTCTGGTGTCGGCGGGGTTCGTTTTGCAAAAAATACATCACGGAGACAGGTCGAAGAGACGCGTTGTACATGCCCTAAGCCTATTATTAGAAGACAGACGGCAATCTGTGTCGTGTTTTCAAAAAAAATATACTACTTGGTCAACGTGTTTAAAAGTACAAACGATTGTTCTTCTTTCTCAACCGCAGCCCTTGTATATAAATAAAAATTAAACTAATGTCTTGTTTAGATCCTCCGTCAAAATTTTATACCTTATTTCATCAAATATTTAGATACATATACGGAGTATTAAATATAGATTAAAAAAATAACTAATTGTATAGATTACAACTACTTTGTGAGATGAATCTTTTAAACCTAATTAGTCAATGATTTGATAATAAGTGCTACAGTAATACATGCGCTAATGATGCGTTAATTAGGTTTAATAAATTCGTCTCGCGGTTTATAAACGGATTCTATAATTTATTTTTTTATTAGTATCTGAACCGACGCTCTATATAACATTCGTTATGACACCCCGTAACCTCTAAACAAGGCTTTATAGAGAATGGAGGCAGCTGGCGCGCACAACCACCACCATGATTCGCCTGTGCCCACCCAGAAGCTGTTGGCAAGTCAACATCATCTATTGCTCCCTTGTCGGAAAAAAAAAAGAAAAAAAGAGAAAGAAAACATCATCTATTTTTTGCGTCCCACTCCCAACCTCCACATAGCCACATTCGTACGTACTCGGTACTCCTATTTTAAATGAAAGCCGGGAAACACTGGACGACACAAGGCCACAAGGCAGCCATAACGATGGCCCCGTCCTCGCTTCCCCACCTCCTCTTCCTCCTTGCCTTGACGTCGTCCGTCGCCGTCCTCGCTGCCGGCGCCGCCGGCAGCGAAGACGACCACCACGGCCTGACGCACATCCACCTGTACGTGCACGAGACGTACACCGGGGCGAACGCGACGGCCACCGCCGTGCTGCAGTCCCCGCTGGGCGCCAACTCGTCGTTCGGGAGCATGGGCGTGGTGGACGACGAGATACGCGTCGGCCCGGACCGGTCGTCGCAGCTCGTGGGGCGGTACCAGGGCGTCTTCTTCGGCACGAGCCTGGAGCTGGGCAAGGGCTACCTGACGTCCATCACGCTGGTGTTCACCGCCGGCGAGTACGGCGGGAGCACGCTGTCCGTGCAGGGCCCCCTGCTCGGGTTCACCGGCACCATCGAGCGCGCCGTGGTCGGCGGCACCGGCAAGTTCAGGCTCGCGCGCGGGTACATGCTCTTCAAGATGATAAGCAAGCCGACGCCGGAGACGGACGTCAACGAGATCAACCTGTTCGTGCTCATGCACCCAGCTGGCAAATACTAGCACACACCTTGAGACTTGAGTGAGTAGTGTGGGCTAGTTGCTACCGCATTATTGGGCAGTGGGTGAAGTGTCTATGTCTAATCAACATCAGAGCATACTGTTTTCGACGACGTGAAGTGCATCCAACTGTTTCAGATTTGTTTGTCTTGATGAAACCCAGTAAACACGCAATTTCCTTGTCCTCTGAAAAAAGATTTCCTTGGCCTAAATTGAGGTGTTCTGTTTCTTGGGCAGAGTCAATCATCAACCTTTGCTTATTCCTGTTGGGCTTCCTTATCTCTTTGTTCTTCCTAATCCAATGATGAACTGTATAGGGTCAGTAGATACACCTTCAGCTCTCCACCGATCCGTCATCTCTCTACACCTTCAGCTTAAAAAAAATTATAGCAGCCAATCAAGCAACTAGTTTGCCAAATCCAAATATGAAAACCTGGTAAAGCGCAACTTCACCAGCGTACAATGGTACAAGAAGTTTTTTTTTCGAGAATGCACTTAGCACATGTTTCCACAATGGTACAATAAGCAAGTATAACAAATAATAATTGTGTTGATTTCATCATTGTCATAGGCTCATAGCTATGAATGAAGGTTCTAAACCGTACAATGATTTAGTTCAGAACTGGGCCTCCTGCTTTGCTGCTTCTATGATTTTGAACATCAGAAACTTAATCAGAATAAGAGGATTCGGCGGCTTGCTTGCTTCTCTTCCAGATCTCCGTCCAGCTAGCTGGCAACCATGAGGTACGCGTCTCTGATCGCACGCATCTCCACAGCAGCATCCCGCATCGCCATTCGCTCTCTTGGCTGCTGCTTTGAGCAGGAGACGCCGAGCCGGATCACTGAAACCAAGCACTCCTCGCTCCGGCTTCTAATTTTGGCAGCATCAGCAGTATCTTTTGCCTTAGCTTCTTCATGCAGCCAGATTACTGGATCGGCTATCTCCGAGGCTCCTTTGGGAAGAGCGGCTTCGGCGAACCTATGAAGGTCCAACGAGTCTTTGAACATGTCGTCAGTAGGGCTCCTCCCGGTGAACATCTCAAGCAACAGTATGCCAAGGCTGTAGACATCCCCAAGAGTTGAGACAGATCGACCCTCGCCATACTCTGCAGTGTCATTCAAATTTCGGACATTAGTTTATTTCGTCGATGGATTCAGTACACATGCAGAGGCAGCTAGACATGACAGAATGGAAGTTAGAGACCGAAGGTAACATTGTGAGTAGGAACTTCTGTTACCTGGAGCGACATAACCAATGGAGCCCCGCAGTCCAGTGAAGCTGACTGAATTTAGGAGGGTTTTACTAGTGCCATCAGAAAGGATTTTCGATATGCCGAAATCTCCAACCCGGGCACTCATATCCTCTGCAAGGAGGATGTTACTTGGCTTGAGGTCACAATGGACTACCGGTGGCTGACACTGATTGTGAAGATATTCTAGAGCATCCATGATGTCTACAGCAATGTCTAGTCTCTGAGCTAGGCTGAGCGTATTACTCAGAGTGTGTACTTTAGATACTGGATGCAGCCAATCATTTAGACTACCGTTCGGCATGAACTCAAAAACCAGTGCCTTGAATTCTTCACCTTGATGATTGATGCTTGAATAACAGGTGATGATCTTTATGAGACAATGGTGACGTACCCTTCGCAGTGCCTCGCACTCAGCCACGAAACTTCTAGTGGACCCAGCTGTCGTATGTTAAACACCTTTACAGCTGTGGTAATACCTGATCATGTAAAGTGCATTTATAAACAGCACCGTAGCTTCCTAGTCCGAGCAAATTAGCCTCTGAGAAACCACCAGTTCCATTTGACAATGCTTGATAAGAAACCCTTTCGTACTGTTCATCAATTAGTGTGGAAACGAGTTGGCTTGCCTTTCTTTGTCTGAACCTCTTGTGGATCAAATGAATAGGAGCAACTAGTACACCTAAGAATACAAGTGCGCCAATTGATATTAGGGTGGCCATAAGGGATCTTGACACTTGTCTTTTGTTATCCACAGCAGCCATGGAGCATGGAGCTAAATGTAGTTGAGGCGCTCCGCCACAAAGCTCATCATTTCCGTGAATCGACAAGGACGTTGCATTTGCAAAAACACCCCCTTTTGGCACTTCACCTTGGAGATCATTGAAGGACAAATCCAATTTCGACAATAGTGTCAGGTTCTGTAGAACTGCTGGAATCAAACCTGAAAAGTTGTTGTGTGCTAAATACAACTGTTGCAGGTTGCCAATACTAGCAAGGGCATCAGGAATACTACCAGACAGCTTATTCATGGTCAGGTTCAGTAAGGCGAGACCTTTTAAGTTCTTCAGAGATTGAGGTATGATTCCCTCAAATGAGTTCTGATCCAGCAGCAGCCGTTCCAGTGAAATGCAATTTCCAATACTGTCAGGTATGCTGCTTGACAACTGGTTTCCTGATAGAATCAGTTGGTTAAGGTTTGCCAAGCTACCAACTTCAACTGGGAGTGGCCCAGACAATGCATTGTATGATAAGTCTAAGTACCAAGAAAGCTGAGGAAGTTTTAGCACCTCTTTGGGAACTGAACCATTGAGTCGATTTGTTGACAGATCAAAGACAAATACATTCTTCAAGTTTCCCAGGCTCCTTGGAATGGGCCCCTCTAGATTGCCATAGTATGCATAAAGCCTGTTCAGCTGTGTAAGATTTCCTAGTGATGGAGGTATGAGGCCTGACAAGCTAGTGTTGCAAAGGCCCAACTCAACCAAGTTTTCTAGCCTACCAATGCTCTCCGGGATCGCTCCAAATATGGAGTTATTTGCCATCTCAAGTAATTTCAGACCAACCAAATTGCCGATGTCCGATGGAATAGCTCCAGAAATCCTATTGTCTCCCAGATAAAGAGTTTCGAGAGTCGTCGATAGGTTGGCGATTGAACCGGGCACTTTACCACTGAAAGAGTTGTTGCCAAGAATCAGATTCTGAAGCTGGCTGCAGTTCGTCAGGGAAGTGATGAACTCCCACCCTTGACTGTCGTTGGCTTGTAGCCTGTTGTCACCCAAGTCCAGGACAGTGAGACCTTGCAACTTCCCCAGAGCAGGAGGCACATGTCCAATAAATCCATTTCCTGCGAGGCCAAGTTCTATGAGAGCAGAGAGGTTGGAGACCGAAGGTGGGATAGCTCAACTGAACCGGTTGTAAGAGAAGCTAAGGGTTTCTATGCCAGGGAACCTGTCGCCAATATCAGCAGGGATAGTTCCAGACAGCATGTTGAATTCTACCCTGAAGTTCTTCAGCGATGACAGATTGTACAGGGACTGTGGAAGCACACCCGATGGGCTGTTCCCAAAGAGGAAAAGGGTCTGGAGGCCTCCAATGCTGCCAAGCTCATGTGGTACCGGACCCTCGAGTTGGTTATCTGTCAGATCAAGGTAGTCCAGGGATGAAAGGTTACCTAGTGATCCTGGGATGGCGCCCGTCAGGCTGTTGTTGGCCAATAAGAGCCCCCGAAGATGCGTGAGCTTGTTGCCGAGCTCGACAGGGATGCGCCCATGGATTTGGTTGCTGCTGAGGCTCAACAGCAGTAAGCTGACGCAGGAGCTGAGGTTGGTGGGCAGCGTGCCGGAGAACGCATTGTAGCTCAGGTCCAGCGCCTGCAGATGCGCTAGGCGGCCAATGCTCTCCGGAATCTCCCCCTGGAACCAGTTGGAGCTCAGGTTCAGCGTCTGCAGGAACGTGAGGTTCCCGATGGCCGGGGAGAGCGCGCCGGCGAGCCCGTAGGAGGGCAGGCTCAGCGACACCACCTGGCCGCCGCCGCTGCACGCCACGCCTTCCCATCTGCAGATGCCGGTGCTGGCGTTCCAGGAGGCCAGCACACCAGAGCTGCTGCTGCCAGCGAGCTCAGCCTTGAAAGCGAGCAGAGAACTGGCCTCGTCGCTGGCACTGCCGTGCGTTCCCCAGGAGACCATTGCAATCATGACGAAGGTGGCGGCGCGCAGCAATCTCATGACACGCATTGCCATGGTGGTGCTGGGCTGGAGCGTAGCCAAGAGCTGGCTGAGCCTTGCCTCATGTTTATCCAAAAATAGAAAGGGGCCAAGCCTTTCTTGGTCAGAGTCAGAGCATGGGAGCGAGCAACTTGCTGTATTTTTTTAATCCTGATGGATGCGTGCTAATGCATGCAGCATGCAAATCCATCGCATCTGATTTGTGATCTGGTGAGACGTCGCTGCACGCTGCTTCCTTCAATCTTTGACTTTCACGTGTCCTTTCCAAGTTTGTTTTGGGCTTTGCCAGTTTCTGGGGATTTTTTCAACTAGATTAGAAACATGTTCCAACCTGTGGAGCATTAGCAATTAGCAAACATGTTCTGTTCCTAATCTGAGACAAACCTTTGATTCAGTTATATTCACAGAAATACCCAATTCTGCTCTAGCAATTATTCCTTCTGTTCAAAAATCTGCAAACAGATGAAGTAATTTCTAACATAAGGATATCTAAAACTCAACAATGAAAAGAAAATACAGTCAACAAAAAGCAAAGAGAAGTAGCCGGTAGTCGGTAGTCCAGAGGCAGCAAATTAGCAAAAGACAATAATAGATTTACCTGAGAATAGATTAGGACTGGCAGCGTGGAAGTGACCAAACACAACTGTGACAGTACTAGATGAGTTCCTGAGTAGCCAGGCAACGTATGATCTATAAATTTAACAGAAGAAAACGGAGGTACAAGTTAAGCAGAGGTATGCAAAAAATGAAGTGATTGTACCATCAGTTCAGTTTGTAACTGTTTGCCAGCCGTTTGAAACCAGCAGTACTAATTCAGTGTTTTCCAACTTCTATGGAAGATATAAAACATAATTTTATCCATAGTTTACTTGTCCATATGTTGGCAACAACTAGACAGCACACATAACAGATGAACAAGCAAATAATTTCACATGCCCCTCAGAGTACAAGCATGTAAAACAGTACTTGAAATTGTACTAATAATCAGACAAGCATACTCTAATATTGCAAGTCTGACAGAAAACCTTTTAATAATGTCAATGATTATTTGCTGATGAGTGATGATCTCCTTTAGCCCAAGATGTGACCCTTGTGAATTTTGGTATGGACACTGACACTGACATACAAGATACAGGACATTGTGATGTGTGTCATGTGCCCATTAAAAATGAATTCCCATCATCCTCTGTTTATAGCATAGAAGCAAGAGCCAATGAAGAGTGAACTATTTATGAACATGGGATAGTACTGACCGTGGAACCAGTTTTAGATTATTCCGTATCAATTATCATACTTACTTACTTAGAGACTTGTCATCTGCGACAGCCCCATATTTCTTCATACATATAGCTTTCACCGGTATCTTGGTTCTTGGTTCTTGGTTCTGAAATCATCCTGCACGACATCATCAGTGTCTAATATAGCAGACTCATTGAGCTTTCCTTGGGAGTCAAGTTCATGAACTGTAATAGCAAATGGTCGTTGATCTGGACCTGAAGCACTCCTCCCCATTTCATACCCACTGGGAAGAAAATACCTTATCCTTGTCCTTGAAGCTCATTTTTCCCCACCCCCACCCATTCGAATTGAATGGATACCCACTGGGTTCTCCATCCCCCTTTACAAGCATCAAAATGGCAATAGCAACATCATGATTTATATCAACACAATAAGACATCAAGATACTAAAGATGGACATCAATTGACCATGACATATTAAATAGAATCAAAGGTGGCTCAACATTTCATATAATGTTTTTTTATATGATATAAGATACGCACAGATCCAATGTCATATTTAACCACATCCCAAGTATGGGGATTAATAACAACTGCCATGAAACAGTGGACAGGGCCATTGCCATCCCTAGTAAGAGGTTGGTCTCTAACCAGCTTGATGACAGTGCTCTGTCATAAGCCATATGAGAGTTGTAAACTCACCACCTATGCTAAGCTGTTTAGCATGCGACTCCCTGCTGCATCGGATGGCCACATAAACTAGAATATCTGTCCACACATCTAAGACTATTCGCAATAAGTCCTTCTCTTTGCCCTCCCTCTTGAGCAGTTTTTCCGCTAGATTGATCCCAAATCTTACACGAGATTTAATGCCAAATTCTTCCAACTTAGGCTGGTGATCGAGTAGTCTCTTGGCAAGTTGCTCTCTTCGGTGGCTCCGAGAATCAGAGTTGGGGCCACCACCATGTAATTCCACGACCATTGTATAGACGATGTAAATCCAGCTTGCTGAACTGAGAGTGGGGGAAGTTTTTTCTGTCCGTTGGTATAACTTGATCTGAGCAAGGCCAGGTAGCATAGCAGGCGTTCAACAAGGAGGAACGTCAAGTAGTGGGAGATTGTTTTGATTGCCCCTACAACACTCTGTGTCCTTAGTCCTCAACTTCCCCAATTTTAAGAGGAGGATATCAGTGGCAATGTGCCAGATGACGATGGCCTCTTGGACCTCAGCACCATGCTGTGCCTCGCCAACCTTAAAATCATGGTGCTTTAGTGCAACCTGGCCTCAGTTCTTCCTAATCACCCCCAGTGTGTTTATTGAACCTTCTTCGTTGATGGAATTTATATAATCCACCACATGTTCCTTGACTGTGTCTGGGATGTTAACAGTCCAAACGCTGGAGCCTAGCATCCTAGCCCATATGCCACGAAGAGGTCGGGTTGTGCCCCAACGGATGCACATGTCCAACATGCTGCACTTCCCCATGGTACCATGCCACCTCCTTGATAATTTGAAGTAGCCAGCAATTCTTGTAATGTAGGCTAGCCGGTGAAGGGAAACGATTACACGACGAAGCTGGTCCCACCTTCCCGAGCACAAGGCTGCATGCCGAAGGCCACTCCATTGCATGGAGCATAGAAAGGCAAATGTCTAGGTGGAGAATAGGGCTCCCAACAGCGATATCATCTCCAGAAGCAAGGCACCACCGAACAAGGCATAAGTGATAACAACGTCGACCCTGTTGTACCCAGCTTTGATACTGAACCAGAACAGCAGAAGCAAGGTTGATACTGTGAGCACTGACACGATACGGATGCAATAGCCAAACCAGATGTGGACCATAGCTGCTTTGGTGTAGAGAATGTCGTGCATAAGAGATAGCTCTATCTCCAATTCTCCATCAACGTCCACTTGTACTTGGTGTCTTGTTTTTTCAAGCCTTCAAGGACTCGACCAAGACCAAGACCACCATGGTTACTTCTAATATTTGAACCTTCATCATTAACTGAAGAATCAACCATGGCAGACTTGCTAACATGGAACAGGGCATGAACATGCCGTTTGAAGAATTCTTCTTCTTGGGTAGTATCCCCCTTGAATCCACATGGACGGGTCTCATACTCGAGGAAAAAATTGCACTTGGCCAGTGCCACTGTCTTCACTGATTCCCGGATGATGCTGAAGCTGGCGTGCCTGAGAGACCATGTCCTCTCCCAGAACTTGACAGCTCCAACACCAATCATAAAGGCAGTGCCCATCACGAACAGGGTCCCGTGGTCGGAGATACACCACACAAACTAACCATATCTTGCATGTTACATCAAAAATAAATTTTACTACTGTTGTAACCAGGGAATCAGCAAATCATATATCAGCCTTGTTTGGTACAGCTTATCAGGGAAGCGCTTCCTAGATAAGCTGCACAAATAGAGTAAAAGTGGCGGTCAAAATAAGCTGGTCTCAGCTTCTGCTTTTTAGTACAAATGAGAGTGGTGAGAGTGAGAATAAGCGTGGCTAAAATAAGCTGTAAAAAAGCATACCGTTTGGCTGTTGGTTTCAGCTTATTTTGGCCATAAGCAGCTTATAAGCTGTACCAAACAGGCCCGTCGTCACGAAGGGAACTTATTCATGCGAAACCATATAATCCAACAGTTACCCAATTAAGGACACTGCCCATATTGTCATCATCAGTTGCCGCTAACTAATCTGCGGTCGAGTCATATTGTTCACCTGTCTGTCAAAGGTGGAGAGCATGACGATGTCGAGGAATAAGCTAGTGTTGTCACCGTTCAGTGGCACGTCTGAAGATTCAGTAGTCAATCAGGCTGAATAGTTGTCGTCTGATTGTAACTGATATAATTCTATAAATTGCAATCTTTGTCAATAATAATGAATTCCTGCAAGAAACCTGTAGGCATGAACTATTACAGGAACAATTAAGAGACGTAGATAGAAATTTTACAAACATGTCCTACACAGAACTGGAACGGGCAAGTAACAAGTCCAAGTTGACAATGACTAGAAGCAAATTGACAGACTGCAGCCAGTACTAATTAAATATGCCACAGCCAGAGAAAATATGAATCAAGCAAAAAAAGGAGTTAATAAGCAAAAGATGCCCAATGCAAATTTATATTTACATGCTACAATAACTCATGCACTAACGCAGTTCTAAAATCAATATATAAATGCCTACCGAACACTTCAGGTTTTTTGACTTACAGAGCTAGATATTCTTAATTGGGTTGCATGTACACTGCTAAACAAGTGGAGCCACCATCATGACTATGTCCCTTCACCTCCTTTTCAATGGCTTCGTCCAGCCCAGTGCCTCAGCCGGGATCGCTACAAACCAGCATTTGGGTATTTGGGTATAGCCATCAAATTAATTTGGGTATCTGGGTATAGCCATCAAATTAATTTGGGTATCTGGGTATAGCCATCAAATTCATTGATATGTACAAGAGTATGTATTAAAAAAATAATTTCACGTGTTATGTATCAAAAAAATCACTTTAGCAATTGTGTAGCCTCAGTACAAAATTAGTTGAGTGGATCATAATGTTACTGGGCATTTGGGTATTTGTGTCACTGTCCTGAATGTTGACGAAGTCTTTAGAGGTTACAGAATGAGGTTACTAAGCTGATTATCATTATCATTTTGCAAGGAATAAAGGTGATGAAGTCTTAATTTTCCATTGATATGTGCATCAGAAAATGCATGTAACTCTATGCTGCATTGCTGCAAGTCTATCTTGGTTGTACTAGAGGAAATTCTTCCTTTGATATTAATTGATAAGAGTCCGAGGTTCTTTGAGTGCCAAAGTGGAGCTCCTCCCTTTTGAATCCATTGGCAACATTCTTTTGCACATAAGCATACAAGGAAAGAGGATTGAGAGGATACTCACTCACCTTGACGGTCGGGGCGCCTTAGTCTGCACAGAGGAGCCAAGAGTGAGCGGAGGTGCGGGGTCGGAGCCGATGGGGACGGAAGCTGAGATGAGTGCAGGCCGGAGGCAGCGGTACGGCCGTGCGTGGCAACAGTCGACGCCCAGGAGCAATCGCTGGTCGCCGCTGGCGGGGAACTGGTGAGGGTGGCATCGCTGACTCGATTCGGCGCCCTCCTAGCGCCAGGGGGCGGAGGGTGGAGACGCCGCAGGCGGTCGACTCCCGATCCCGTCGAAACTCGATAGCGGCAGTTGGGTTTGCCGCATGCCTGATTCTGGCTGGGAGCCTGGGAAGGCCGGGGACGGGGAAGACCATTGCCGGTGGCTCGGCGCTTGGAGAGTGCTGCGGCAGTCGGGTGATGCCGGCCGAGAGCGCGCTCCAAGAGCCTTTTGGTGCTTTTTTTTTAATTACTGGATAAATGTTGCGGAAAAAATGGAATTTGAATTCTATTTCAAATTATTGTTTATAATGCACGACAATTTTAATAAACTATAAATGGCTTTTATTGAAACCTTTCATAGCAAGTAATACAACTTTCAAAACTAAATTACTCTTCTCTTTAGTGACATGCTAAGTCGAAGCTTGTCACCCCATGTTGACCGGCAACAGCGTGGGCTAGTGGCAACAAGACAGCAAGCAGGTAGTGGTGATCTTCACGGGGTGCAGGGCGGGGATCTAATCAAATCTTGACATGACTTCGATCTGGTCTGTTACTTGGTAAATAAACGATCGTAAATTTTCAAATTTAAATAAGATTTTTCTCTCACACCAAACCGCCAAGTAGATAATAATCCACGATCGATATCGATCGTTTCAAATGACCGAACAGTGATGGCTCTCTCGGTATCGTCGTGGTGGCCATCGACATCCGTGACCAAGTCACGGCCTTGCGCGCCACGTGCCTGGCGAAGACGCCGGCGTCCATGGCCTTCCTCGTCATCTCAAGGCCAAAGACGTCATGAACAATGGCGCCCGGCCAACGGCGGGCGGAGGTGACGTCGAGTGGAGCGCCTCTGTGGACGGCGTGCAAGCGGTAGTCACTGTGACCAGCCGAGGTGATGCCCTCATTGAAGTAGCTATTGCCGTTGTCGGCGTAGTAGTAGACGCCATCCTCGTCCTCCCAAATGCCAGCAAAGCAGTAGTAGTAGCCGGTCATCTTAATTCGTGGCTATACAATATATGCTTGGGCAAAGCATAGCTGCCATGGAATGAATCTGTGTCGGAAAAGCAATTAGGGATAGGAACGATGGAATGACCTAAGCAACAATTCGAATAAAAGAGTTGTTCACAATGGTAATGTCAGAGTAAGGAAGAAGGCGAGAGAGCAGAGTACCATCAGTGGAGCTCATGTGAGAGGTAGTGCATGTGTCCATCATCCATAGACTAGGCTGCTGAAACTAGAGCTAGTTTAGTGCTACAGCTAGAGCAAATGGATTCCACGTGTTTAGAGGTGCTAAAACCTTTGAGGGAGACATTGTCATGTGGACCTAGGGAAGATGGCCCGACAATCCTAGCAAGGGAGCTCGCTACGTAGAGGCTTCAGACTGTCCTAGCCATGGGTTGCCTTGTAGATTCGACCACGGGCTGTTGTAACAGACCCATGGCCCATGGGCTACCAGCACTAGCATGCGAGGTGTGGGGGGAGGTGGCATGCTGCTATTGTTCACGGTTGCACCAGTTACGGCACCCTGTTGTTGTGCCAAGGTGTTGCCATGGGACGTGTTGCTAGTGCTAGATGCTCCTAACGACACTCCCGATGATCGATGCTGAAGAAGTGCGATAGATCATACAATAAGTAGTAGTGGAGGAACACCCAACAAGAAATAATGCTATTTCATAGGAGACTTTCCTTTCATTGGCCAATCGGAGTTCCTTGAGGGCTAGTATATACTACGAGTAGTACTGAAGGTTGGCAGTGGTATGGTGTTGGAAATATATATGTCGATCATGTTGAAGAAGCACTTATTGATGCCATGCAGAAGAACTCATTGTGGGTTGGAGATGGTGTGGTCAACATCCAATAGAGAATGGGTGAGGATCTTCACTTGTTGACAGTACTCAGACATAGGGAGATCGCCTTGAGTCATGAAGTGGAATTCGTGACTCAAGAAAATCATCGGTGGTTCCTTGTTTGCTTGGGAAAGGTTCTCAATGGTTGTCCACAGGGCACTTGGTTTTGATTCGGCTCCATAGCAGGATCAAGGACGTCGGGGGTGACAAAGCCATAGAGCTAACTTTGCACATTGTGATTGTTCATCTCCCAAACAGGGTTGGTTGGCAATGGTGTTGTAGTGCCATTTGATGTGCTTGAGTAGTCAAAAATTACCACACATGGAACATAAGAAAGTGGACCATTTGGCAATGTTGGGATTCTTAGATTCTAGGGTGATGGACACAAGTGATTTGGTGAACACGATGACTATCTCGCTGGCCATGGAAATGCTATAAACTAAGATATAGCACTGGATGTAGAGGATGAGGAAGACATCCTGCCAGGACTAAGGAATCATGCATGCGCAGAGGGGGTCGGAGGGGTGGCATATCATTGGGATGGATTGGGACAGCATAGATATAGTAGCGTGCACGGGAGCATGGATGCACATAGATGAGCAAAGGATTGGTGGACTTCTACTCTTGGATCCTAAAATAGATGAAAGTGGAGGTGGATCGCATAGAGGAATGGGGTTTGTGCGAGTAGATATCATGACCATGGAGGAATGGGGTTTGCGCGAATAGATATCATGACCATGGAACTATGGTGTGGAAGGAGCGCACGTGAGCAAAGGAAAGACAACGACACTAGAGTTAGGGCAGTGTGAGGAGTCAGAGAGAGACCTAGGCTCGTGGTACCATGTAGAAAATAGGAAAACACCTTGCACCCCTAAGATTGGGTGATCTTTCATTATATATAGCCAATTACGACTTGTGTTATAAGAAGAATACAATACAAGTCATATTCAAACTCTCTCTAACACTCACATAAGAGAAAAAATCACCGATGATCCTTCAACTCGTTATGCATTCCCATTAGGTCCCATTCACATATAAGAGCACAATGTTAGGAATTAGTTAAAAATTAATTTATTTTAAGTTTTATTTGAGGCCATAAATAAAACACATAAGTACCACAATTTTCTGCCTTCCTTAAGCCTATGGCAGGACTCAGCCAACATCAGACCAAAAAGAAACACATGCATATATCTTATTTACTCTTTGGGGATGAATGGCCCCTAATCATAATCTTGAATTGTGTCTAAATGTTCAGCGGAGACAACATTGGGGGGCACATTTGTCAGACAAAAGTTTGGTA